GAACAATTTACAGTGAACTGCGCAGGCGCAGTCACTAAAAACCAAAATGGTGGCGGCCCAATGGTGGCGAGAGAACCAGTTTGAGGGCATGGCAGGCCTGGGTTGCTGCCGGTTCAGCCAAACTGGGCCAAACCAGGAGCAACCCACCTCTGATTGAAGGCATGTTCTGAAATATGCCATACCAAAACACCTGTATCCCTGCCCACACAGTTTTCTTACTCGCCCAAAAAATGACTGATAGAACAGATTAGCTTGTTACACATAGTTTAATTTGAAAAAGAGCCTATATTAGTCTTCCTGAAACTTTGGGAAGTCAACATCAACTCAAAGTTGTTCCTGGCCATACCTAAGCCAGAGGAATTATAAGACTGACTTCAAATAATTTTTAATTTGATTATTTTAGTCCTGAATTTAAATGTCTCNGGGAAACACGGTACAAATTCCTTAATTCTGTTTTTGAAAATGTAAATATATTTGACTGTGATGTAATAGAATAGAAAATCCTGAACAGGAGCTCTTCAATGACAAACCAACTCGAACTAATAAAAAGGGAGAACAGCATCCATTTTTCAAAAGAGAAATGAAAAGGTAATGATAGGAGGGACGGCAGGGCAAATGTATAGTTACAGAGACGATGATGGTGCTTTAATTATTGCTGTAATTACTTATGGAAGCTCATTTGTGTTTTTCTCCCTTAAACTGTCAACCTTGTAAGAGTTGTCCTTTTTCATCATACCATAATCTCATTCCCACATTTCTCTTGATTTCAGTTTTCATATCCTTCCGTTAAATCCTGTAGTTTGTCATTCATATTGATTGGACATTATGGATAGAAGACCAGATTGTACAGCATAAAATTAAATGATGGAAAAGCATGAATCAAGTCCCAGAAATGAAAAGCAGTCCTCATTGGAAACGCAGCTGGTTTTCCTATAGCCAGATGGTTAAAGTTCAAGGCCAACTGTTGCATCCTGATCGGTTTCTGTAGCAATGATTGCAATTGGCTCACCTTCGCATTTAGTCATCCCCTGAATATTAAATATGCCAGAGTGCTTTCTCAAACATAATTAGATTAATGCACCATCTAACTCAATGTTTCACATCCATCTCTCTACCAGCGCTCTGTAAATCAAATGCCCAACTGTTCTAATTGTTCCTAACAGATGTCTTGCAATGGTCTGAGAAACCAACGAAGATGAGAATAGTTTCAGACTGGCTGTTTTGTGGGTGTTCTTTAACAATTTAACAACAGTAGATAGAGGAGGTATTATAAGACTACAGCATCATTGGGAATAATAGCAATAGCACTTAGACTTAGATACCACTTCACAGTGCTTTACAGGAGTCTCTAATCAGTTTACAGAGTCAGCATATTACCGCCAACAATCTAGGCCCTCATTTTACCGACCTTGGAAGGATGGAAGTCTGAGTCAACCTTGAGCCGGTCAAGATCAAACTCCTGGTGATGGGCAGAGTTTGCCTGCAATACTGCATTCTAGCCACTGCGCCACTACAGCTCTTGGGAATAAACTCCTGGTGCCCTTTCTCAACCTATGATCTACAGACACATTGCAACTACAATTCCCAAAATTCTTAGAACAAATGGGATTGCAATCCTAAGAGATCTTTTCGACATTGGATTGGAAGAAACTACATTAGAAGCGCTATTCTTCTGTTTTCTCCTTGAGGAAGTATGAGAAAGCAAAGGGCAAACATCACGGAGCATGGGGAAAGCATGCTAGATGGGACATTATCTCCAT